GAGAAGGTGAGGATGGCAGGAGGAGGGCGGCGGCGGCGGGTGGAGAGGTGGGGGAGGGAGGAGGGAGAGCAGAGGGATTGCAGGGTTAGAGAGAGAGAGAATGGGTATTATAGTCTTTCCCTGTGTGAAATTCATTGGGCTTTGTGTTTGGGGGCTCAGAGAACAAAAAATTTACTTTTGGGGGCAAAGCACCCGTTGAAAAAGTCTTGGGGGTGAGAAGCTTGTTTTCATTCGTTTTGGGGGCTGGAAGAGAAGGTGAGGATGGCAGGAGGAGGGCGGCGGCGGCGGGTGGAGAGGTGGGGGAGGGAGGAGGGAGAGCAGAGGGATTGCAGGGTTAGAGAGAGAGAGAATGGGTATTATAGTCTTTCCCTGTGTGAAATTCATTGGGCTTTGTGTTTGGGGGCTCAGAGAACAAAAAATTTACTTTTGGGGGCAAAGCACCCGTTGAAAAAGTCTTGGGGGTGAGAAGCTTGTTTTCATTCGTTTTGGGGGCTGGAAGCATTTTTCCCTTATGGTAATCATTGTGCTTCGAACGAATTTTGGATTAAAAAAATTACATATTTGTTCGAAATTTAAGTTGCTACGGGTGAGTTATGCCCTTTCGGTAATTCCATTTTCAAAGAATCCATTGATATGGAAATTTTCTCTTTACTTGTGTTTTCATTTTATAAAAATAATGAAAAAAGGTGTGTGATTGAAAGTCATTTACTTTTTTTTTCCTTATAAATGTAAAATTTGTTTACTAATTTATCTAGTAATTTAGAATACAGTGTGACTTGAAAAGAGCCTGACACCCCTTTCTACGCATTCAATTGGATTGAGAGATTTAATGTTGATAAATAAATAGTCAGCTTTTAGTGAAAGAAAAACAATCGAATGAACACTGGGCCTACATAATTACTTTTATCTTACACGAGTTGCTACATTTTAGAATCATAATTAAAAAATGTATTAAATTGACTCGTAAGAGTTAAAATACTTAATTTGTTATTGTAAGAATTACAGTACTGGCTTCTTCATAACATTTTTAAATCAGAACAAGTTTTTTTTAGTATTAATTTAACTAAATTATCATTTAGTCTAGAGCATGCAGATTTATTTGCTGTGAAGTCTCACCGGGCTCAACAAATACATATGTTGAAAATGAGAAGAAGATCACTTGCATGGTTGAACCAAAACTTTATATCAACAAGGCTTAACCATGAAAACCTCATCTACTAAATTTGAGTCATGTGATTAGCATGGTGTTAATTTTTGATTTACTATAACAAGTGTTATTATTTTATAGAGAGCTTCTTCGCATCTCATAATTCCATATTTGGGACTCTTTTACATCTGTAAAAAGAAGTGTAAAAGAGTCCAAAATACTCGATACTTGTTGCATCTATGTTGCTTCGTGCTTATCATTTATCTTCATTCTTTTAAATAAAAAGTATTTTTGATTGCCTCCAACATTTCAAATAATAATAATAATAATAATTGCGCTACCCAAATACTGGATAAAATTTGATGAGAGAGGAAAAGTTATGCAACTTTGTATAGATAAATCGGTCACAAAATGTATGATAAAACATGATTTCCATGAGCATGCGTCAGTGAATTCCTGGCCCCCAAGAAAAAGCATGAAATAATTTTTTTAAATTGCAAGAAATGGAAGCACACTTAATGGGCCACAAAAATTGTGTTCACACTGCATGAAATTTGAGCATCAGGGCCATATATTGGGCTTTTAATCATAAATACCCGTAAGCGGATGGGCCATGTATCCGTGAATTGCATCGGTCCTCACTTTTTCAGTCGAAAAAGAATCATTATCGCCAACTAGAGAGTAGAATATGTTACGATTATAAACTAGTGGTAATAATTAAAAAAAAAAAAATCCTAAATCCTTCAGTTCAGTTTGTAGCGTCTGTTCTCTTTTGTTTGTCTCTCGTAATGAGGAGTTTTGTCCCTTTTGTGCTCCGATGAAAGAGCTTGAGTTATTTTTTCTAACAATTATATATCCATAAGAAACTCCCCGTTATTTTTGAGAAAAAGGATGGAACACCCCAAAGGTATTCTAGCCAGCTAAATTAAAAGGATGGTTGTTACAAAAAATAGTTCATACTCCCAACCAAGAGTATGTACTAGAGTTCAAGAGGAAATACTACAAGTAGTAGTACTCTATCCACTATATACATCCGGAGATAACCACCTACATCTAACTGATTTAACAAGTTTGTCATCAGTAACCAAAATACAAAACAGTAAAGGCTAACAGAGTTTTCTTTCAAACAAAAGATACAGCATATCCAACGGCTATTAATCTAACAGAAACTCATCCCAACTGAATTACTGTAGAAACTCCACGCCATTAATTATAAACACCCATTACCCTCATGGAAACCGCAGGAACTTATCTCTCTACGGATCATATATGTCCTCGAAAGTTTATTTTTTAACCGCATCGATCTCATTGTCTCAACTCATCTAAGTTCATCTTATATCATTCAAATAAGAAATTAGGTTGTCAAATAAGAAATAAAAAAACATTTAATAATACCCAAAAATTTTGAGTTCCTTGAACCAATGAGAAACTGGTATGAAACATATGACGTTGATAGGTTTATGCCGATATAACAATAATTTAACATGAATTATTTGATCTATAATATATTTTAATGAAGCATACACGATTCAAATTTCGACTAAATATGGATTGACAGCACAAAAAGAACAAACTGTAAATGTGAATACAAATAGTACGACTCCGCGGGCAAGGTGGTCTTAGGGCCTGTTTGTTTGCTTAAAAAAAATTGAAAATCAAAGAAATGGAAAACTATTAAATCAAAGAATTGTTTTGGGAGTGTTTGGTTTTCAAAGAAATGGAAAACTATTAAATCAAAGAATTGTTTTGGGAGTGTTTGGTTTGCTAAAAAAAAGAAGGAAATCAAAGAAATGTGTTTTGGGAGTGTTTGGTTTGCTAAAAAAAAGAAGGAAATCAAAGAAATGAAGATGAGTTGTCACCTTTTATTATAGGATGATGTGAGTGATTTTTTAAGAAAACTTGTTTTGATGTTGTTTGGTTGGCGAAAATAATAATAAAATAAATTATAAGAAGCCTATTTCTTGTAATAGGTTGTTTTCTTTTGCTTGGTTATTTCTTAAAAATAAGAAAATATATGAGATGAGATGAGTTGTCATTATATTATAGGATGATGTGACCCACACTTAAGGAAATTATTTTCCTAGCTTTTTGGGAGGAAAACAAAAAAATAAAATGTTAATGAGATGAGATGAGTTGTCACAATCTTATTGGATGATGTGAGTAATTTTTAAATATGAGATGAGATGAGTTGAGTGATGTTGTGGATGAAAATAATTTTTTATTAGATGTGGTGGATGTGATGGATGAGTTGTTGGATGAAAATAATATTTTATTAGATGTTGTTGGTGAGTTTTAGAGATGGAAATGTGTGAAATTGTACTTTTTGAGTTTTCTTGGTTTGCATTTCTATTTTTTGGTTGTTTAGGAAATAACCAAACAGCCCCTTAGTGGACCATCAAATCTGTTTGAGCTCTAATAGTGGGTAAGGTGGTCCATCATGGGAGCAACTTGGGCTGGGCCCAGATTGGATCCTATCCGACCAGAGTCTCCTCGCTCCTAAAACTGCTCCGCGGGACACTGCACCGTCTTCTCCCCTTCAACTTCAGTCTCGTGTCGTTCGCCTCTCCCTCCCTCCTCATCCCCAAACCTTAACGTGTCCCTGCAGGTAGAAGAAGGTCGCCACGTCATCATATCCATTAATTACTACGAGGGGGAAGAAGCCTCCATCCATCCACCGATCTTGTATTTCTGAGCCTCAGATTCTGTCTCATGTAAGCCCTGATTCTCTATTTTTAAAAAGAGCCCCTTTTCTTATTACCGATTTCTGCTTCTAGGGTTTCTAAAGGTGGAATTTTTTTGCAATTTATTAAGAAGATTATTATTGCATTCCTGAATGAAATTGGGTTGAGGTTTAGTATGTTTGTTTAAATTTGTACTTGGTTCTCTGTCTTCTACAGCCAAAAGGGGAAATTTTGGGACTGCAATTATGAGCTTTGTGTTTCGTGGAAGCAGAGGAGACATTGAGAGCGGGTTCTCTGGATTTATGCCTGAGAGACGATCAACGGTGACAATTTTTCGATTGAAGGCTTCGTTTTGCTTATTTTATTTTCTCTTTCTTATTGATTTTTGTGATTGTCACAGAGAGTGCATGCGGGCGCTCGGCCTGTTAATACAAATTCGATGGCGTTTCTTCTTACAGGTAATGTTTTCGCTAGCTGAAGAAACGATTTTAGCTGTAAGCTAGTTGGGCTTGACTAAATTTATGCACATTGTGGCCTTTGGCAGTCCTTTTGCTGTTTATGATTCTCAACTCACACCAAATGTCACCAAACTTTCTGGTAATCCCTATGCAGTGTTGGTCATTGGCATTTTCAGTTAGTGATTTTCTTCTGAATGCGTTTATGTTGGGTTTTAGCTTTGGCTAGTTCTTGGAGTGTTTTTGGTTGCCACGGGCCTTCGAATGTATGCTACATGTCAGCAACTACAGGCCCAAGCCCAAGCCCATGCTGTAGCAGCTAGTGGGTTGCTTGGGCACACTGAGTTTAGGCTTCATGTGCCTCCATCAATTTCCTTTGCAACGAGAGGACGGTTGCAGAGCCTGAGGCTTCAGCTCGCCCTTCTCGATAGAGAGTTTGACGATTTAGGTACACAGGACACTAACTTTGAATTTTGCCTAATGTGTTTGATGTTTCCATAACTTTGCTTGTTGTTTTTAGATTATGACGCTTTAAGAGCACTTGATGCTGACAATAGTCATGGTGTTCCCTCTATGAGTGAGGAGGAGATTAATGCTCTTCCAGTACACAAATACAAAGCTCAATCACATGGACAGCAAAGGCAAGTTAGAATCCATATCTGTTTATTAAGCTTGTTGGAACTTGAGTTTGCCTTCTCTTTTTAGAATATTTAATCTTCTCATTTCCATTAATTTTCGTTAGAACATTGTACCCTAAAGTGAGCTTAGTTTAATCTGTCATGGGAATGTTCTTATTTGGATGTGTTTCGTCTTTACAGTAGTGGGTCACAGCTCCAGCAAGCATCCTCGTCCTCATCTACAACCGATGTAAGTCTTGGCGCCGTTTCTCTTGTCCCATACTAGATTTGTGTCTCTATTTAAGTCACCGACATAATCTAATTGTGACATCTATTCACATTGCATCTGAAAATAGCCTCTCAGTTACATGCATGATACACATTCTGAAGATGAGAAATTTGTTTGGGATGGTTAAATCCACTGATTAAGAATGCTTTCACCAGTAATTAATTGTGATATGACAAGGTGTAGATTTATATTACATAGCTGTTATGGCTAAGGAGTGTTCTTAATAGGCTTCATTAAAAACAAAGGTGAACAGATAAAGTCTTGATTATAGTTTCTTGGTGATTTTTGTGTTGGTTCCTGGGTCATTGGTCTATACTAAATTTCTACTAGGGAATAGATGTGAGAAGTTGGTTCTTAATGGCGACATATTTGGACAATTTTGATTTAGTGGATGTCAGAAATGGATTTTGATTGTACTTACTTTTGTGATTATGAGTAGTCTCGTGCATTTTTGTTAATTATTATAGGTAGATTCTCAAATTGTCATTGAAACGCTTCCCTGTTCGGGCCTGTTTTGCTGCAGGGTTTCGCAAATGCTTGTCATATGACTCATATCTAACATCACTTAGTTTCAGTTTTCTACTCTAAGCAATTAGTATCTTTTTTCTTTTTACTCTAAGCAATTAGTATCTTTTTTCTTTTTCTTTTTTTGCAAAGACCGTTGCATTTGGTCAGCTGTAGATTGCCCTTAGAGAAATCCTGTTTATATTGTTTATTAATTTATGCAATGTATATGTGTATTTCTGTGAAATAATTCTTTGCTAGTTGAGCACATACTTTTTTATTCCGTACGTGCTTATGTACTGACATTGTCATATATTGGATTCATTTACTTCTGTTAAGCAGAAAAAGCAAGACCTCACAAAACCAGCTGGAAATATGAGTCAAGATGATGAACTGACCTGTAGTGTTTGTCTGGAGCAAGTCACTGCTGGAGAACTACTAAGGAGTTTGCCTTGTCTTCATCAGGTTATACATATGATGAAATATCTTCAATTGTTTAGCTTAAAAGTTTTCTTGCTTTTCTTTTTTCATGGAGTTTACTTTTTCTTTGTGGCTACTCTGTAGTGTTCTATCTCCTTGAAAATTTTTACTTTTAAAATTTGGTATTCGTCAATTTTAGAAACTTAAATATACCAGCTTGTTGAACCCTTATGCTTCACATAGTAACCTTTACTTCAAGAGTAAATAGTATTTGATGAGGATTGAGTGGCTCCTTTGCAGGTGCTATTGAATTATTTCAAATAATTAGTCCTGGATTTATTCCACCTCTTGGTCCCTACTTACTTCTATTGTGTATCCATCTAACCTTCTTATTTCCAAATTTTGTTTGGGGAGACTATTTCTCTTGTTTAAGAACTCGGGGAACTGATAATAGTTTATAATAAAGCTTTGTTAAAGTGATAAAAGAAGATGAATAATGGGGGGAAAGAAACTTCTTCTACTCAAAGTAGTTATTGGTGTAAGCTTATGTTAAATAATTTAGCCATTTCGATGCAATTGTACTATTAGCACTTTGATCATTCACACGAAATCAATACGTTATAAATTACTTCTTTTTTTTAAAAAAGGTTTTTTGCATTTCTATTGACACTTGGATATTACTTTGCTAGTTCCACGCAAGTTGCATAGATCCGTGGTTGCGCCAGCAAGGCACGTGCCCTGTGTGCAAGAACAGAGCAAGCTCGGGATGGCATGATAATGGCGATGGGGAAACTGACGCATCTTTCATGGTGTAATTGTTTCTATTAGCTAAAACATTATTGAGGATGGATGTTAACCCCATTATATATATAGATGGTTCATACACAGCATATAAGTAATTTGTTAGCTTGTTGTATACATCACAGTCAAATCTGTTGCTTTTGCACCTTGTTGTACTCTTTCATCCAAATATATATCAAATATTTGGAGGGGCTATGTACTTGGTAATTGCCTTCGATGGTCTTATTGTCCAATTATACGCTATACCATAGAGTGACACCTTTTTTTTCTTCCTTTTTTGGTGGAGTGAGGGTTGGGGGGTGTAAAAAACAAATTGTGTTCAGAGACCTTATTGTCAATATCATGATTAGCTTGATGGTAAAGTTGTGCTCAAGTTCAAATCCTTCTGCAATTGGTTACGACCTGCTGTAGGTCTGATAACGATCTTGACTTGATTGTGCTGATTAATATTGATTTCTTCACTTTGTTCAATAAATTGGTAATATCTCAACCAAGGGTATTCGTATGGTTGTTTTGTGCTCGGATAGTATTGTGACATTGTTAGCCCATTACTGCTTCTTTGTTTGACTTAGGTGATGGCCTTCTGGTTTTCTTTATAAAAAAGAAAAAAAAAGAAAATTAACTAATGCTTACATACAAATTAATAATCAGAACAAAAGGAAACTACTATACCCTCAAATATCTTGGATGAACATTGGAGATCAAACACCTCGGTTGAGTTCCTTTTGTACGTATTGAAGTTTTCAAGCTAAATGTTTATGTACATAAATAATCAGAACAAAAGGAAACTACTATACCCTCAAATATTTTGTAATAGATAACTTCTTCAACAAACGGAAAATGAAGAAATGAAGAATTAAAAACTTTTTGTGGATTAAGATTCAAAAGTTGGAAGTTACAGTACAAAGCTTTATTCAACTCTTGTTTCTCAATTTTATGTCAACCGAATATATATCCCTGCTTATTATCCGTTTCAATCTCAACGAAACCTATAACGATAGATTAAAACCCAAACACCATAAAAAAAAAAAAAAACAACTGAAAACTTTCTCCCATGGGTTTAATAAAAATCTTCAAATTCTCAACATTTGGGAAGATCCAACGGCGGAGGAGGCAACTTTTGATTGGGAAGTTTCCCATCTAAAACAAGCCATGCCATGCTCAAGCCCCAACTTGTATGAACCTCTAGGTGACAATGCATGAACCAAACACCTACATAATCCCAAAAATTTAACCAATTTAACAAGTCAAAAGTAACAAACTAAAATACTTATGCTTCTAATATATATATATATATATATATATATATTTAACAAAAAGAAAAAAAGAGAAAAAAATGACAAAAATACAACTAAATAGGTAAAATAAAGAGGAAAATATGTACTTCTCACCCCCACACCTAAATTTTGCATTGTTCTCAATGCAAGTTTGCTGAAGCACAAAGTAAAGCAGATAAAATTAAAAACTTACATTTGTTCGTTTGACAATGATGATAAGGATCTGCAATTACTGTTAGTATGAGGATGAAGAAATCAAATAAGAGAGAATTTTTTTTTATTTATTTAATTTTATTTACT